GATGTCATTCAACTTTTGTTGTTCAAATCTATACTTATAATAAATCTGTAGAGAGGTCAATTCTGTACATGAAATATATTTTCAAAATAACTATCGGGGGGTGATTAGTGATCGATACTGATGCCAAAAATGCAATCAGTAAAATTTTTGTCTGTCTGTCTGTCAGTCTGTATTACTATGTTCCTTATAGAAACAAAAACTTTTCGACGGATTTTAATGAAACTTGGTACAATTATTCTTCATACTCCTGGGCAGGTTATAGTATACTTAGGAATTCCCGGGCGAACGGGAATTGGCGGGAAAATCCCTTTGTATGAAAAATCTGAACCGCTTATGTTAGACGCTTGAAATTTGGCATGCAGGTACCTTAGTAAATTTGAAAGCTTAGTTACAACAGAATATTGCAATATTCCCACTGGAACGGGAGTTAGCGGGAAAAAAACATTTTTATGAAAAAATCTAAACCACGTAAGATAGACGAAGGGGGTAAAACGGGAACCACGCTTACATAGTCGCGGTCGGCCGCTAGTGCAATAATATCAACAATATTGGCCCCATACAAATTATTTTCTTAATATATTTTTTCCTACATCCCCACCTTGTCTGGCCTGCATGGAGTGTAGATCCTCCAATTGCCACTGGTATCAAAGAAATTCGTGTTCCTGCAGTGCCAAATGACCTGATGATGGTATTTTACCCAAAAACCCAGTCATGGTATTGTCCCTTTACAAATTATCTTCATAATGTTTCCAGAAATCCAGCCATGGTGTTGACTCTATACAAACTAGACGCCAGCCCGCCTGTTCGCGCGGTTATGATGACGATCGAGGCCCTGGGCATCCAAGACGTGGAATACGTTGACGTCAATCTGCTGACAAAGGATCATCTGACGGAGGAATACTTGAAGGTATGTTCAAACTAACTTTTTTTTAAGAGAGTTGACGGTTATCGTAAGAAAAAACGGCTAAAGGCAAATCCTTTCTAACTAAGCGTCACAGACGCAGCGTCTTTAGCTTTGGTCTTGTGCCACCAACGCCGCGTCATTAACTCGCTTCGAAAGGCTACCTTTAAGACCAAAGCTAAAGACGCTGCGTCTGTGACGCTTAGTTCGAAAGGCTACCTTAAATAAAACGTTAAAAATACAAGTTACTTTTTACTTACTTATTATTAACAAGTATTTTTCATCGTAATACTGCTTTTTAAAACGTATGTGTGGTCAGGATCGCGATTTGACAAAAGAAACATTCGAAAATCATAATTTATAGAAAAACACAGCATATGTGTAGGGCCGCACTGACGTATGGGCAGATTATTACGCGCTTTACGTGTGTGCCCGCACAGCCGTAGCGTCGAACTTTTACGCGTAATGTGTGTTCGGCCGCACAGGCGTTGGATCCAGATAGCGCGCGGAACGCCGGTGCGGGCGGTCACGCTTTGTGTGAGATTTTAGCACTGAGGGATAACGTACGGCGCGACGCTCGCAGCCAATGTGTTAAAAGAATCTTTATTTTGACAATACTAGCCAAAAAATAGTCTCAACAAGTCCAGATTTTAAATTTTTTGAAACCCAATACAAGGGAATAAGTTTCAAAATGTTGTGTTAATTTACTTCAATTCACGAATGCAAATCTTAGGTAGGTACTCTAGTGAAAAAAAAAGAAAAAAAAAACTTATTCCCCATAGTGTTTATTAATGGAAAATGTTTTTCTATTTCAGATGAACCCTCAACACACGATTCCGATGCTCAAAGACGATGACTTCATTATTTGGGACAGGTAAATTTCTCATTATAATTATCATTTGCTCTTATAAGTGATCCTCATGATTATACTCTATACCTATTATCTCTTTAAAATAAACACCGAATCGCTAAGAAAAACATTTAAATAAATTAAAGTTGAATGACTTTTCCTCTCGTTACAGCCACGCCATCACAGCATACTTGGTCGGAAAATACGCCGAGAACAACGCTCTGTACCCAACTGACCTGAAGAAGAGGGCACTGATTGACCAGAGACTCCATTTTGACAGTGGCATTCTCTTCCCAGCTCTTCGAGGCAATGTGGTAATAATTTCACTATCATCATCATTCCAGTCACAAGACGTCTGCTGCTGAATATACGTGTAGGCCTTCCCCAGTGATTTCCAGTTTTTTTTATGCAGAACAAGGCAGGTATTTGACCGTAATCGCACCTGCTGTTATTGGCCGGTTGGTAGCTGATAATCCTGCATCCAGATCCTTCCTGCAACCTTTAGATTCGATCTTTTTAAGCAGCACAAAGCAGGTATTTGATTGCAATCACATCTGATGTTAAGTGAGATGCAGTCTAGGATGGTACATCTGCCTTGTAGCGATCTCGTGTAGAAACGCCGAGCATGGCATAATCAGTTTTCATATTATTATCACCGATATCAGGACTGATGATTATTTGACCCAAATTTTAAACATCTGCTTCTATCTCTTCAAGTTTAATTTTTCCATTTATCCTAAAAAAATTGACTTTTCGAATTATTTTATTCACATGCTTAAACTTTATTCCAGGAACCAGTATTATTCAAAGGCGAGTCCTCCTTCAAACCAGAAGGCCTTGAGAAGATCTCCGCTGCATACGAATTCACTGACAAGTTCTTGGCTTCAGTCTCACCGTACTTGGCTGGCAGTGACCTGACTCTTGCTGACATCTGCTGCGTGGCTACCATCAGCTCTCTAAACGCTTTGGTGCCTATTGATGACAATAAGTAAGTAATAATAAAAAATAAATTTATCTTTACATAGGAGAACTGTGCTCGTGAGCCTTGTGGTTCTGGCAGAGTAGAATACCCCACTTCTGATAAAATGGGAATTTTCTCACCTCTAGTTCCCACCGCTGCAACTCCTGTCTATAAGGATCTATAACTTGACCGCCAATAAAAACCCAACCAGTGAAGGTCAGTTTGTCCCGGGGGAAAGTTAAAATATCATTGGACCCGCAATGAAATTAATCAGAAGACTCTAGGAGGAGTTAGAAGTTAACACTTCTGATAAAAAGCGACTATGGGCTTCCATACAAACATTAGGCCCAACCCGTCGGGATGGGAAGTATAGGCATTCTACTGCAACGGACAATAAATCACCTGATGATGATGATGATCAGAGACCAAATTTTTAAGAAAACTTATTTTCTTTAGTGGCTCTGTTACTAAGAGAAGTCTTAAAATTGTCCTACAAGAAAATATCATGGTACACGAACACCATAGTGGCACTGCTCACTTGACCATTTAGTGATTAATCGACAAATTAAGAACACTTTAGTAACTTCCAAAATTTTAATTCCAGGTACCCAAACCTCGCTGCCTGGCTAGAACGTTGCTCTACAGAAGAATTCTACAAGAAAGCAAACGAAGCCGGTGCACAACTTTTAGGACAAATAGTTAAAAGCAAATTGGCTTAAAAACATTTAAAAAAACACCAAAAAGTCTTAAAGACCATGCACAGAAATTTGATTCAAAATATTTTAGAGCATTTCGATACCTCTGGGCTCAAAGGTCGTAAAGGACAAAGTACGACTTTTCAGGAGAAGCAAAAAACGTTTTTTTATTTTATTATTCGACAGTAACTTTTTTGTTTTTTGAGCTATTAAAATATGACTTAGGAAGAAAGTGCTTAGAATTCACAGCATTTTCCGAGGAGGTATTGAGAAACTGGACTAGAGCTGTATTTACTGAGATAGATTTCCTTTACGCCCTCAAAATTACAATAAAAAGACCTTTACGCCCCTCAAATATTCGTCCTAGGCAAGTTACTCAGGACGTAAGTCTCTTTTTATTTCACAAAACTACAAAACCAAGGTAATAAATGACAATTTACATAGTTTTATAGGTTTTCATAGGTCGTAACGGAACACCCAGGTAAGGTATTATGCAAGGGTAAATTGATAATTTAGCTTAAATATTTNTAGATAATCTAAGGGCGTAAAGGACAAATTATTTAGACTTTGGTATGAAAATGTTAGGTTGTATAGGACAATAGATATACTTCATGCACATTATACGCCCAAAAAATTGTGTTTACTTGTTCTTTACTACCATGGTAACTGTACTAAAAAATCAAATGGTATTTACATCCCAATTTTCAGGATGATTTCTGTTTAGCTTATCAAAAATGATGGGTCGTAAAGGCACTTTTTTTGAGAATTTCGACAAACTAAATATACAGATCGATAGAGAATTAAATTCTGAGTAAAACTGTATAAATAACTCATTTTCGGTATTTTGTCCTTTACGACCTTTGAGCCCAGAGGTATCGATTTTTATCATCACTTTCTCACTAAACGACTACACAAAGTGTTTTCACGTAGGTGATTGTTTACACTGTATTTATTAAAATAAATTAAAAGCGAAGACTTTGTTTCTTATTTTCCAGGTTGTGTAGGTTTTTATACCAGTTTTTACGTATTAGAGTTGAACAATTGAACATTTCAGATTTTCTTTTGAATAAACATTCTGGGATTTTTTCATAACCTTGTTTTTGCTAAAAATGTTGTTAACAAAGTCTCTAATAATTATATGAGGTAACAGTTTTGAAGCCACGATAGCCGAACGGTGAAGGGGTCAGACAGGCCGATTCGTGGTCCGAGGAACGCGGGTTCGAACCCCGCCACCGCTCGATTAAGTGGTGAACTCCTGCGCAGCAAAAAACCCAACTAATGTAGTCTAAAGCTGAGTTCCACCACCTAACTTTAGCGGTAATTTCTATGACGACAACCGGTGTTTTTGTATGGAGATTGACAGATTTTTGACGTTTGTTAAAGTTAAAGTAAGATGGTGCAACTCAGCCTAAGTTTCTCTAAAATTAGTCAAAGAAAATACGAGTAGAAAGTACAAAAGGTAGTCAATTTCCTTTCTTACCAAAGTAATTAAAAAAACTATTAAAAAATTATGCTAACTCACTCTAGCTATTATGTACTTATTTATTTATTTAAATTATGCCATGCCTACTCGCAATACTGGTTTATTCAAATTATGATTCTAGTCTAACCGGCATACTACAACAAGTTCCTATTGACAAGACATTTAAGACCATGACAATCAAACACCTTTACCAGTTTATATCGTAACTACGTGTGTTAGTTTGTTTTTTAGTTAATTGAAACAAAAAGGTAAGTTTTTGAACAAAGGTTCATTTGTCGTAAGGTAGGTTATTCTGTAAAAAATATATTTATTTTAATATATCGTACACATACATACTTACTCTTTTAATTATATTATTTACTACCACCACTACTATTATTAAACGTAGTATAAGCAGACCATCCACTCGGTTGACCGGTGATATTATCGACGGCAGAAAGCGATTTTGTCGTATCTCAAAAAGTCCGATTTTACACCAGAGCAAAAAAACTATTTCAAAANGGGCGATAGTATTCACGAGGGCTAAAGCGAGGAAAGCGATGCGACACGGTAGTTCCCGCCAAAACGCAGAAACGTGATTTTGTTGTGCCTGACAAAATGCTTGACATGGCGCTGTGACTGAAATTTATACCATTCGGGCCGCGTCAGGCACGGGTGGCTGACAGTTTTTTTTATGGGTATAATATGTCAATATAAATAGTAAAAAAATATTTTTTAACAATAACTATTCATTTCAAGCCATTACACATCGATTAGCAAAAAATTCAATTTTGGCGAATTAGTAAATTTACTTTGGCAGTCAACGTGTACAATACAATTAAAAGTCATTTTAGCCAATTTTTGAGATACGACATTTCCGCTTTCTGCCGTCGTATGATGAAACTCGCGGGAATCATCATGTGGACAGCTTTGGACCAGTCATTGTGGACATCCTTGGGGGAGGCCTTTGTCCAGCAGTGAACGAAACTCGATTGAGAGCAACGATTCTACTATTGAATTTTGTTATTCCAGAAAAATGGGATTAACTCTATACAAGAAAGACACCAGCCCGCCTTCTCGGTCGGTCTTCATGACCATCCACGCTTTGAACATACCAGACGTTAAATTCATAGACGTGTACCTACCAGCTGGAGAACACCTCACCGAAGAATACATAAAGGTAAGTTGATGAGGCTTTTTACATAGAAGAGCCATATAGGCCATTGACATCCTAAAACCATTTTCTAAACACAACGGAGAAGCTCTTGGCCTGCATCTCACCTGATGGAAAATGATGATCAAGTTGAAGGTAGGAGCGAGCTTCAACCGAAATCCTCAACCACTGAAGAAACGAAGGAGAGGCCAAGAACACAACAATTTACGTATTTATAATCTCATTGACATCCTGACATATTTTATGCTCATAAGGGAAGAAGCTCTTGGTCTAAATTGAATAAAATATTTTTGATTTTGAAATGAATTCTAATTTACTGAGGTTTGTTTTTTTTGAGTTATTTTCATAAAGGTTGCATATGTACTCGTAATTATGACCATTAGTTACGTATGAAATTAGCAGGCAGACCGTCAAAAACAATTTATTTATCCTCTCAAGCGCTCTGCGGCGGGAGCAGACGCACATCACTAAGCTCTAAAGTGCTCTGCGGCGGGAGCAGACGCAAATCACTTGTCCAAGTTCGGGACCTTGTCATTTAAAAAATATAGTTCTGTTTCTTTCGCTCGAAAGTAATAATGCTTAAGTATGAATGTGATAGCTATATTTTCTAGGCACTATGGTTGCTTTTCAACCAAATTTTTCTCAGTCTGTGTTTGAAGATGACGCGATCCGCGGTGCCCGTCTGGGTAGTGAAAAAGATGGATGTTTTTTATCGTTTAGATGCTTTGGAAGTGTGTTTTTCTTTATAAAAAACGTGTATAATGTGATTAACTTTGGAAATAAGCGTGAGGGGTTATTCTTTGCAAACTATATTTACAGATGAACCCACAACACACCGTGCCTCTTCTTATAGACGACGATTTTCTTATTTGGGACAGGTAAGACCTTATTTTTTTAATAAATAAAAATCACATTATTTACTTGAATTGAGATTTCACTGGACTAATATTGTCGGAGGCCCTAGAATAGAAGGGGAAGCCACAGAGTAAAGAAAAGACAATGCTGGAAATTGGCGTCTTTTCTTTTATTCGCGCGGCCATCGACCACACTATATTTTTTGGTTATAAAATAGTCTTAGAAATAACACCCGCTACGTCAGCGTGACGTCATATCGTTCGATCCTGTTGTCTCTGTCTTAGAGAGGGAAGGCACGAGAAACCGGCCGCCCCGCGCGCCGCCACACTTTGCTCGAGTGCTTGGCTGTGACGGACGTTCTCTCGGTTCAGGGACTGTGATATTTGTGACCTAGATCATTATTTCTGCCATAGGCATATTTCTTTATTGCGTTAAATTGATTTGTGGAATTATTGGTTTCGGTTATGTAATAAATCGATATCTGCTGGTGCCGTACATTACTTTTAAAAAGCACTCTCACCTCTGATCCTTAAGATCAGAAGTGGGATTGACCACGCGTTCTAACCGTTTTTGCCATCTATTTTTGCCTTAGTTTGTGATTATCAGTGCAGTGTTAAAAGTTAAGATGACCAGGCGTTCGTCTAGATTAAAAAAAGAACGTGATTATTCTCGTAAACAGTGTCGTGATAAAAGTTAGTTAAACGTCGGGTTTGTTAGAATATCGAATGCCGCCGTTAAATGAACGTGTGCATCGATTGAGTATTGAGTATCGAGGTAGGTCACCTAGGCGATGTGTACGCACTCCGCGTCGTAGTCCTATTGGGAATCGTGAATATTCACGTAGCCCTCATAGTGATTTTTGTAGGCGCTGTGACAGGTCGTACGGCCGCCGCCATAGCTCGCGCGACGATGTGTTTGGGAAATTTTTGTCGCGAATTGACTCGTTTGAGGGTGTGGTGGATTGCAACCGTCAGTGNTGACGAAACTATAAGGGTTCCGTTTTTGCCATTTTGGCTACGGAACCCTAAAAAATTGTTACAATATTATTTGTTATTACAAAAACATGTTTTTTTGTTAAATAACACATATACAAAATATTTCTCTAAAAGTAGGTTTCACTAACTCTTAGACAAAAATCGATAGATAAATCGCTATGGTTTAGTTATGTGACATCTCTATAACTTTCAAACTCGAAACGTCATACGAATCATCTTAGGTGAAAAAGACTATAGATTGACCTTTTTTCGTCATATATTTTTTCCATGTGACAAATACAGGCTGTTGATTTCAATCCTCGCCATATTAAGGAAGTTGATTAAGTAGTTCTGATCACGAATCAGTAAAAAAATTGACTTCGAAAAAAATATAAAACGAACTTTAACTTTAGTTAGTCAAAGAAACCTATTTACACTACCTACTTTACGTGGCTTCCTTCAGTAGGCTATCCGACATGATAAGCGAGCGATCCGCGTAGCTCGACGGTGCCGCGGTGTAAGTGTATTGCAGTATTGCGAGCTACAGTACAGTTGATGTCGCACGGAAAATATTCGCTAAAAACTCCACTTTCGTTTGTAATTTTTTCTGGTGGATTATGCGTTTATATAAGTCTTAATAGATCACCTAAATAAATATGGCGAGGATTGAAATCAACATCCTGCAGAATAATTTGTTGTAACACTCGTAAGAGAGTACAAAGTGAAAAAGAAGTTTAAAACATAATATCGAAACCAAAGGTCAGAGTAGAGTAGACCCCAACCGGGTTCCCTCCAAGGGGCGAACCCTCTAGCCTGAGGTGGAGCTCCGGACGAATGTCCAACTAGGACAATAACTTGCGGCTCCGTTTCTTTGGGCTCTGGTGAAAACCGTCGGGTTTTAGTGGGTAGGCCCCGCCTTTAGTGGGTAGGCGGGGAGTCCCACATAACCCACTGGCCGTCCACATCGACCAGTGGGTATGCGCAAAGCATTTCCCGACGTAAAAAAAAGAGTAGACCCCAACCTGCATTGCTTATCTGCAACTTATCTGAACGTTGACTGGCGGATATTACACCGATCTAAAAGAGATTAGCTTGTCATCAGCGTTCTGTGGGTAAAGCTTACTCGTATCTTAATCATGCACTTTGTCGGTTGAGTTCTAACATCGTATAAGTAAAAATCTGTAAAAAAGCGATAAATGTACAAAATTGCCATCCGTTTAACTTTTCTTGTTTCCGAATTTCGGATTGTGTTAAAAAGCTGAATTGTTTTCTTAAATTCCTGGATTAGATATTATGAATATTGACTAGTATCATCATCAGGCCATTTATCTAACAATGCAGCACGACCCTCTCTAATTTAATAATGGCATATGGAGAATTTGGCTTACACTCTCACGCTGGCCAGACTAGTTTGAGAAGCTTGACGTTCGCATATTTTGATTAGCACTAAATTGTAAATTGTTTCGTAACGACTTTTAATAAAATACACTTCGATACCAAATAACTTAAAAGTAATTTACACCTTTTATTCCAGATGCCTCTCCTCTACCAAGGAGCAAACGGCTTCAAAGAAGAACATCTAGGTATGATTGATGCAGCATACGACTTTATGGAGAAATTCCTCACAGCACCTTGGCTGGCTGGCGATGACGTCACACTCGCCGACATCTGCTGTGTGTCCACCATCAGCTCGATGAACGAGATTAGACCAATCGACAAGGAAACGTAAGATTTTTTGGATACCACATTACTTAGCGCTCCTGCACACGACGCCGCGCCCATACACTGTCGGCCGTTTGGTGTAGTGGTTCAGAACGGACTACTATGCCGAGAGGTCCCGGGTTCGATTCCCGGCCGGGCAGAAATTGAAATGATGAATTTTAATTTCTGGAACGGGTCTGGGTGTAAATATAATAATAAATAAATNTGACTCGTACTATGTGACTTTAGTGTGCGACGAGCGGCCAGCTCTCTGACATCGTAAGAAGACTGCTATCAGGATACTCGTAATAGCTTTTTCTCCGGGTAACTAGTTCTTTAATCTTTCATAGGGTATCTGGCAGGCCTCTCGAGGCCATAATAATTTTAAACAGATGACGGGTGCCATCTTTGCATTATGGTTTTGTCTTAATCAAAAACCAGGAAGAAGCATAGACTTTAACCACAATAGTAGCCAGAGGTATTAAAATTTCTATTGGATTTTAAGTTTCTACAATACAAACGTAGTATTCGGTACGCTCGTGTGTTCTAACGGGCATGTTACAATTCACCAGGAGAAATTAATGCGAGATTTTGTGAGAATACGCCTAATTACCGCCGAAGCAATTTTATGCAAGTTCTGCTGATCAGTACTCAGATAATTGGCCATTTCTGATCACATTTGTCCTTCAATTTGTTCAAATTCATAGATAGGCAGTTTCTCACATGTTTCCAGAGCTTTTCCAGTAGACTATCTGACAAAGACGCGAGTCGCGAAAAGGGCCAGAAAAATTCTCTTCTCGCGCTCTCTCACGCGCTTAATAAAATGATAAACCCAAAGCCTGGCGTTTTTGTGTATTTTACATTGAAAATATAGCATATCAGTAAACGATTTGTGATAAAAAAATAGTATTTTTATTTAAATATTGCACAGATATGTGGCGCCTAAGTGAGGTCTAAAACCAACTTTTTTTATAAATTCAGTGTCGATGCGGAGGCAGTTACTCTAAACCGAATTGATTAATATTTTGCATGACTTCATTTAAGCCCTAAAGGCACAAAATTTTGACTATTACATTACAGATATCTGAAAAAAAAATTTTCGCTCCACCCTAGTGAGCATGGAGCATTTGATCCACGAAATATTTCTCACGTCTTACATCTTAATATGCCTCATGCTTACACTTTATCTTAAATGATAAATACTGCAACTAATAAAAAAAACATTTAGAGATTGGTGGTGATTTAGATCACTAAAAAGTCACTGAATCGGAACAGACGTCGTTCATACCTAAAGTGTGCCTAAAGTCTGTTCGCCGAGAGTTGATAAATATTATGAAATGTCTTGCAATAGCGACTGTCGCTTAATTATCGCATTCTGTATGGCGGGCGTCGTTTGTCACAACGCGCACTGAGTACCATGGTACGAGCCACGCAGCTGTCGTCAAGCGCCCCGGCCGGCGGGCCGCAATGTGTGAAACGCAATGTGTGAAACGGAATAGATTTATTTTACATAAGACCGAAATGAATGGTATGACAGTGGGTAGGGCTTTGCCCAACATTGGGATACACTATAAGCCACTTGATAATAATGAAATACTTTTTATCCAACACATGGACGCCACGTGTTTGATCCGTATCCCCACGTATGCCCTAACCGGAATAATTCCCGTAAATTTAAAAGAGGTAATAATGATAATCTACCAACTTTATCATTATATCGACAAAAATAATTAGCGGGCCGCAATTTATAATGAGTTTAGAACCTCTGATATTTCATTTTTTTATCAACTCACGGCGAACAGACTTTAGGGTACTTTTGCATTAATCACAGCTTTTTTCAATAAAAATTGCTAACAAACCTCACAAAGTAGATAAATATTTGAAGGTTACTTACCGTTCCATGATTTAACACAAATTTATAATATTTTAACACTGCCAACGTTATTATTATTATTTTGAATGGCTTCAATACTGCCAACGTTGTGTAGTCACGGCGGAAAGGAGGCAAATGGCGGAATGAAAATAATAGAGTAACATTGATGACAGATAACTTTTTACTTTCCTTCGAGGCAGTGACCAAGGCGTTGTTATTATACAGCCCGGTTCGTCACGAACGTACTGTAGTAAGCTTAATGCAATCTTAAAAAAAAAAATGAGCGAGCCGCGAAATTTGAACCCATGTTTTTATGGAGCATTTATGCTCCAGCCCACAGACGCTGCCATTTTGACATTGGAGCATATGCTCCACGCCACAGACATCTTTTTAAATACTGGTGTGATCTAAGGGTGTGATTTAAATGAATTTGGTATCAATTTAAAGTTAAAAGTTTACCCCCTTACTAATAAAAAGTTACACAGTTGTTGATCACTGTTTTAAAATGACATTTCCATACTAAACGTCACTTTAAAACACTGATCAACAAGCGTGTATGTTTTATTAGTAAGGGGGCTAGTCTTTAAAATGGTGCCACTTTTTTGTTACTAACAAATTCATTAGTAATCAAGAGAAATTTAGTTTGTCACAGATCGTCATAAATTAGTCTGGGTTATAAACAATAATACTGTAAAGATTCATCAAAATCTGTTCAGCAGTTTTTGCGTGAAAGAGTAACAAACATCCAAACATCCAAACTTTCGCATTTATAATATTAGTAAGATTTGATAACAAAATTAAACACACGATGTTAACTTCATAATTAAATTAACCTGCACAATCTATACTTCTATACTAATAATGTTATAAATGCGAAAGTAACTCTGTCTGTCTGTCTTGCTTTCACGCCTAAACCACTGAACCGATTTTTATGAAATTTGGCATAGAGATAGTTTAAGTCCCGGGAAAGGACATAGAATAGTTTTTATCCCGGTTTTTGAAACAGGGACGCGCGCGATAAAGTTTTTCTGTGACAGACAAAATTCCACGCTAGCGAAGCCGCGGGCGGAAAGCTAGTGACTTATAAAGATAAAACAAGAAAAATGCATACAAGAATGGAATCTCTTTGAAAACTAGTTGACATGCCACGAACCACCCCGGTCTTTAGTATGCATAGAAGCAAGTATGAAAATGCTGTTAATTCAATTCAGAAGCTAAGGAAAATGCAAAAGATATAGAATGTAGGTCTGTAAGTGAAATTATTCAATAATAGTCCCATTTTTTTCCAAACTAGTGGGACGTCCACCCACAAGGTGGACCGACGACATCATAAAGGTAGCAGGAAGGCGCTAGACGCAGGCCGCTACCAACTGGGCAGCATGGAAAGCATTGGGGGAGGCCTATGTTCAGCAGTGGCAGTGGACGTCCTATGGCTGAGATGATGATGATGATGATGATAATGATGATGATGATGATGATGATGATGATGATGATGATGATGAAACTTAAAAACACTGACCTAATGCGAGCCGGACTCTTTTACTTTTTGTGAAACTAATTTTAATGATAGATCGCCCGGAGTCCTGCCAGCAGGACTTAAAGTACTTCCGGTAGGACGCAAAATTAAAAGATCACAGTTTCGTAAGTATACATTGTACAAATTTCAAATTTACACGAAAAAATAGAGTGTTTCTCTCTCTTTCACCCAATAGTGCCCAAGATCGAAAAACGCGACTAACCGTTAGCCAGAGCCCGATGGCGCACGAGTATACACGGGGACAGCGCGTTCGCGCTCGCGCGACACATTTTGACGCGCCGGGCGTGGAGTCGGCAACATTTTGGCGATAATATTATAATGAATGTGAAGTATTCCAGCCTAATCAAACATTTATAATTTATTTCTTGTTTTTGTTTTTAATTTGTAGTGTATTTGTAAGTGATAGGTGTAATTTCTAATACAAAGTGACGTACCAAAGTAATTAATTTAAAGTTCCTTATTATAGTTCCTATTAGTTAAGTTGAAAGAAGATAAACAAGTTTATAATATATTAAGAAAAGTAAAATACTGGTTAAACAAAATGATTCTACGACATGACTTTTTATTTAATAAACACTAACCAAGTGTTTACTACTTCTGGTGAGGATGAGTTCAAATTTGAAGGTCACCGTACTGCTGGAAGGACCAGCAAGCAAACACGTACAAATTGCGTACTGCGGGCAGGACTTGCGATAATCTTCTGGCAGGACGTTTAGAACAAAAGACCAGTCCTTCCAGAAGAGCTTCCAGCAGGACAAAGCACCGGGCGATCTATCATTAATTGTATTTTTAATATTCTATAGAATTTAAACGCACGCTTTAGTAATTCAGCTATTCGTGCACACGACATATCATTATTTATTTAATTTATCATTAAGTAGTAATAGATTACCTACTTACTACTTCATATCGCAATAACATCGCAGGTAATTATTAATGTATTTCTAGTCTATTCCTTCTTATTAACTGCAGCATTGGGTTATTAATAACTTTAATGAAGCCTTTCACTGTCAATATGTATGATACCTTCGTGCAATAACTGTCAACTGTTTAATAAGAAACACAATAGAAACCTTTAGTCCCTATCAATTGACAAAGGTTTGTTCCGCCACTTCTTTTCAGCAGCAGCCCATAGGTATTGTGGTATTATGTTTTTCCGTAGTGGTGGTAGGGCAAGTTATTTGAGACGTGTTTAAGCCAGAGTCTACCAGAGTAAATACAAATGAGTAGGTCATCTTCATAGAAACGCACCGAGCGTGGTTTGTATGTGAGCGCGCCAATACGTATGCGGTGCGCACGCACACACTGATAAAATTTAGCGTGGATTAGCGGGGTGTTGCGCATATTTACGCTGTTTAAGCGCCCTGGAAAGGACCTAAGTACAGAATAAAAAACTTTGACTTTGAAAATAAGATTAATTTAAGAGATACTTAGTCCAACCCAACATAAGATTTGGTTTTATTCCCAGATGACACAATCGAGGGCACATCAGACTATATTTTTGTTGCAATATCGTACCTATTACAACTGCATTGCATTCCACACTTGATGAGCATTGAAATCTAACGATACCTTGAAACTGAAGCTCTTTTATTCATGTCGGTATACAATTTACTGCTCATCCCGTAAAGGGATCGCATCGTAACTGTATCAACTCGAGGC